GTTCTCAATCTATTGGTCCAGATATCCTGCATATCAGATATTTACATTATGATTCCTAACAGCAGCAAAATTGAAGTTATGAAGTAGTAACAGAATAATTTTATGGTTGGAGGTCCCCACAACATGAGGAACTGGATTAAAGAATCCAGTGTTAGGAAGGTTGAGAACCACCGGTCTACAGTCATCTGTGAGAAAGGTCTTAATGAGGAATTACCTTGATCAGGTTGGCCTGTGGGCGTTTCTGTGAGGGGTTGTCTTGGTTAATTGATATGGGAAGACCCAGCCCACTGTGGGTGGTGCCATTCCCTAGGCAGGAGTTTCTGACCAATATAGGACAAGAGAAAGCTAGCCGAGAGCAAGCAAGGATCCAGGTGCTTACTCCTTCTCTGCTTTTGATTATGGACATTATGTTTAAACTTCTGCCTTGACTTCCCCACAATAATGGACTGCAACCTGGAATTGTATTCCAAGTAAACTCTTTCTTCTTCTTCTTGGTTGCTTTTTTGTCAAAGTATTTCATCATAGCAGCAGAAAGAAAATTAGATCAACAGTGTACAGATTTTCTTCTCCATTGAGCTCCCTCTAACATTAAAATCTTAAACAGACACACCTTTTGTCTAAACTGAGAAAACCTCATTGGTGTGCTGCCCTATTAAGCAGGTTAGCTTTTCCATGAACGTCCTCCTTTCTGCCCCAGTGTCCAGTCCAGAATTGCACATTTCATTTAATCACGGCCACTCTTTACTCCTTCCACACCTGTAGTTGCTTCTGGCCTGTCCTTGCTGTGGCTTTGGTAGTTGCCAAGAGAACTGGGGCCACTTTGGAGAACTGTCCCACAGTTAAGGTCTCTGTGATGCTTTGCCCTGGTTACACTGGGCTTACAGATTGGTCAAGTGTCCTCAAAGGTCAGAGTGCTTGAGGCCAGGTGACTCCCTCTTGATGACAGCCTGGGCCACCTGCTGGCGGTGGCACCCTCAGGGTTTCTCTTCGTGGAAGAGAGGTTTCTCCTTTGTTCCTTCCTCAGTTGGCTACGTGTGCTCACCAAGTTCACCTCATGCTCAAGGGCAGAGAAAGTGGCATCAGCCCCCTGGAGGTGGATCAAAGCATCTCCAGACTTGTGTGAAGCTACACCATGAGTAATAAATATTTGGGGGCAGGTACTTTGAGGCTATGCCAAGATCCTGTCTCTCAGAGACCGTCCCATGCTGTGGCATCCATCCCTGCTTCTCTGCTGAGGCTGCTCCCACCAGGCAGTTCTCACTGCAAGTTTCTTCTCTCTCATTCCTTCTGTGTTTATCACTTGGCGTTTTTAAAGGGAAACTCGTCCCGTTTGCTCCTTTATTTATATTTGATCATTTATTTTTATCAGCATGCACCTATGGATATTTATTTTATTCCCTGGGTTGTTGCAACCGAAGCCTCTGCTCTATCTTGTTGCTCAATTTCTCCCAGTTTTGGCCACTGGACGGGTTCTCAGGTTGCCCCTCGTGCTCTCTCAAAGGCCCTCCACTTGTTATTTTTCCCTCTATCTTGAATACTTTCTCGATTCTGGCACTACAAAATGTTCCCGCTCATCATGTACTTTTCTTGCCCCCATCCTGGAAGCAGCCATGTCTCCAGGGAACTGTAGTTCTGTCCTTTGGTTCACTGGAAAATGGTATTTGTGGCGTAAGAATGCAGTGTGATGAGCTGGTTTTCCTGGATGCCATGCTTTCAGACCCTCCCACTGACAGAGCCAATGATGCCCAGGCCTCTCTAATGTGTCTCAGAAGTACATGGTGAGTGGACAGTAACAGATGTAAAGACCCACACTAGAACCAGCTCCCTGGAGAGTAGCCAGTCCCACCACTGGGGTTGCTGGGAGCTAGGAGGGGCTTCTATTGCAGGAACCTATAGGCCTGGCTCATGCTGTGCTTTAGCCTGAGAAAAGGTCATTTCAGAATCCTAAATATGATTCCTACTGAATATGTACTGCTTTTGATTCTTTAAGTCTGAAAATTGTAAGTTGGGAATCCCCTCTCTCTCTCTCTCTCTCTCTCTCTCTCTCTCTCTCTCTCTCTCTCTCTCTCTCTCTTTCTCTGAGTGTGTATGTGTGTTCTCATCCCTGTACACATGTGTCTACATTTATTTATCTGTCTATTGACAACTGTAGCAAAGTAAATATGAATTTATGCCTCCATCTTCAGCATTATTCATCATCAACCTGTTGATATAGTTAGATTTAGAATAGGTATGCACACACACACACACACACACACACACACACACACACACGCGCGCGCGCGCACAGATATACACTACACACACATACCACATATACCACATACAAACACACATACATTTATCACACATACTACATACATATATGCTTCACACATACCATACAAACCATATACCACAAAAAACACCCACCCACAACACGTATACACCACATACCACACACTCATACCACACTACCACATCCACATACTCCCCCACATATACCACAGATCTAACACCCACACAAACATCTACATATACACCCTCAACACCCTCCCACAAACACACACTACACACACATAGCATACACCATACCACACAAAACATCACAGACTTGATTCCTACAATGTTTCTCACAAATCCTTTTGTTGTGTGTTTGGTTCCTTAACATCAAGAAATGATTATGATAGCACTTGCCCACAAGTATCAGAAAGCAACCATCTTTGGTGCACAGATGTTTATAGTAGTGGAGAGTTTCAGGTTTGGGGCTCAATGGAGACACTAGGTGGATTCGTCTTTTGGGTAAGACATCTCTTCTAAGAGTTACTGGGTGTTAGCTAAGGCCAGGCTATTTTGTAAAGTTCCTCCAACTGTCAGAATTCTAGAAGCACAGTAACTTGGTTTCCAGAACTGAAGTGACTTCTTTTTCTAGATGCTTGCCCTCGCTGTTACGGACTACATCAGTCACATGGCAAAGAACCGCCTCATCAGAAGGGACCCTCCCCCGTGGCCCTCATTTCTCCTCAGTGATCCCACCAACACACAGTACAGTTCATAGTAGCTCCGAACAGGAAACAGCCCAAAGGTCGGGCCGCTCATGAATGAATGAAGTGTGGTATGTTCATACTCTGAGGTATCATTCAGCCATAGAAAGAGCTGGCGTGAGGATCCAGGCTACCAAATGGGTGTCCCTGGAAGGGAAAGAACTGAGCCACTTCAGACTCAGCATGATTTCATATCATGAAACACCCAGAATAGACCAGGGTAGACAGAGAGGACCAGAGCCAGGGCTACTAGGCTGGCAGTATCGACAGGGATACGAGGCGATAGTATTGGAAACAAGTGCCAGGATTCTCTTAAGTGAAAGTTGTAACATCAGACAGTGCTCTTCCTGCCTAACCCTGTGATCGTAATTAAGTACACTTGACTATATACTTTTAATAGACAAATTATGCACATATTAAATATAATAGAGCTGTCTTTTTTAACTACCTGTTCATCATCTCCCAGTATCCATGAATTCTGCAGCCCCAGCCAAGTCTCCTGCTCTGGGCTCACAAGTTTGTGTCCCAGGAATCCTTCAGCCTGCGCTCTTGAATGAAGCTTCAGTCCCCTTCCAAGCTCATACACTGGCTGGAGAATGTGGTTCTTGTGGCTGCAGGATTGGAACCATCAGCTTGGCACCTTGTACGCTCCTCTGCCACTTGGTCCTATCTCCAAGCACATCACAGGTGGCATTTGCTGCCTCAAGGACAGCATCAGCGTCTCTCTGTATACACAGCAGGACAAAAGCCTTGAGTATATGTTGAGTGTGCAATGCCCCCTATGGGCTCATGTTTTTGAAGTCCGTAGCCTGGACTCTACTTCCTGTGACTCTCTGATGCCTGGTCCAGCGTGATGTGAACAGCCTCTACTATACGCTTCTGCAACTACAAATTGGCTTCTCTGCCATGATGGACTAAGCTTTCACAGTAAGCTCATAGCTCCCTTAGCTTATTTCTGTTTGCACAGTGGCTACTGCTATGCAAAAGTAACCAGTATAGCACTTTGATTGCAACCTGATCATGAGATGGATAGCCTTGGCTATGCCTCATTGGTGAGAACACCTCACTGGTACCCTATACTTTGGGGGAGGGGTATGGCATGGAAGGAGGCCTAGGAGCCATCTCAGCCTCCCTTCTCCCATTACTGGTACCTTCTGCCCAGAGAACCGGCTCCTAAACTAATCAATTCACGAACACAGTAGCCTTGGCTGCTCTCAGACTCACTCTTTATCCTAAAACCTCAAATTCATGGCAGTCCTTCTGCTTTGGCCTCAAGGTTTGAGGCCACCGATAGTTCGAGCCATCAAGACCATCTCTGAGCAATTTATTTTTAACCCTGGTTATCTTTCAGAAACGCCTGCCTCTCTCCACACCTCCAGGGCCAGGCAAGATCTCTATCATCACCAAGCCACATGTCCAAGCTCTCTGCTGGAAGCTTCATAAAGAAGCCCATTTCTCCTTCCTTCTGTCTTTACTCATTAACACCTCTATGTCAACATTTTGAGTCTTTCAAACTAAGCGAGTTTTTTAAAATGACGTCATAGTCTCCCAAAGCTGCATGTTGAGAACTCAGTTTTAAGAATTTTTATGGAGAAGCAATCCTTGCTGAGAGGCCGAGGGCACTTAAAATTCCAGGAGCTGGGGAGCGGGAAGGGGGCTGCCCTCAAAGCCTTCCCACTATGTATTCCAATAAAAACCTCCCCCACACACTCTTAAACACTCCTGTAGTTAATTTGCAAGTATTTTGTGTGGGTTGTTTCATGTTTATAAAGATGACTGCTTGGGCTTCAGGGGCATCACCGAGCCCTTTCATTTCTGTGTCTATTTTCACCCAAGGGCTGGCACTCAGCATCCCAAGCCTCTAGCCTTTGCCTGGGCTCCCGAGGATCACCCCGTACACTCCTCTGCTGGCCCAGGACACACCTGAGCCCAACACACTTGGGCCACGATGTTTTGTTGTTGTTTGCTTAATTTTTTTTGGTTGGTTTTCACATTTTTATTGGGGGGCAACAGGGAAGGGGGCCTCTTCCATCAGCAGGAGTATCCACAGGTTCTTCAGCCATTCCAGATTTGGGCCCTGAGGGTCCTGGGGGTGGCTGGGCACATCCGGCATGTTCCCATTATCTCGTACAGGCACTGGGTAGACATAGGGTGTGGCCCTGTTGATCATGCCAGAATACTTGGTATAGGGGCTGATTATGGGCATAATTACAGCGAGACCCCAGATAGAGAAGGACACCACTAGCCGCGAGAATGTTTGCTTAATTTGAGACAGGTTTGCTATGTTAACCAGGCTGGCCTTGAACTTGTGTTTCTGCTGCCTCAGCTTCCCAAAGGCCGAGATTATAGGACTGTACCTCCAAGCCCGACCCAAGGGCCATGTCCTAATACTCTTGAACATATGGACACATAGGTGGATTGTATACCTTGGCTGCTGTAAATAGTACCATAGTGAACGTAGGGTGTGAGGGTGCTGGTGCTGGTGACACACTGACTTCCTCACACGTGGAAGCCGAAGTGTTGATCTCAGAAGTGAAGAGTAGGATAATGGTTGTCAGAAAGAGGCTGGGAACAGCAGGGAAGAAAGGAAGGGAAGAAGACCTGGTGGTGGGGTACCAAACATGGCCAGATGAGAAATGAGTATCACTTCTCTGCAGCACAAAGAGGTGGTAACAGTCAGGGGAATTCGTCTATTTCTAAATAATTAGGAAACAAGTACCTTAATTCCTTTGTCATCACCCTGACAAAACCATAGAAGGAGAAAGGCTTTACTTTGGTTCATGGTTTTCACAGGGTCTGTCCATGTGCTTAGGCACAGCCTGGAGTGTGTTACAGAAGCCTGTCTTCACTTTTGTGGCTGAATAGTGAGAAACTGAGGAAACAAGGGACACACCCCAGCGATCTCTGTTCTCAATTTAAACCACACCCCCTGCCTTTCAACATCCCTAATGATGGCATCACAATACAAAGCCATCAAGAGACTGATGTATAAAAATGTCAGGCCAGACACACCCAAAGGTGGGCTTCACTAACCCCCCAAGAGCTTCTTAATCCAGTCCAAGTGACAGTCAAAATTAACTATCACAAAATCTGAGTGTTCTGAGCATAAAAAATGACTGGGGTGACAGAAATGCTAAACACCTATGAGTCATTGCGTGTTATAGACACACAATATTGCCCAATTCTGCTCAGTTCTCCTGTGTCAATCAGAAGAGAAAGGAGAAGAAAGGAGGGGGAGCATGAGGAGGAGGGGGAGAAGGTAGAAGAGGAAGACAGGGAGGAGGAGGAGGAGGAGAATGAATAAAGAGGAAGAGGAGAAAGCAGAGGATGAGGCAGAGGAGATGGAGGTGTTGGAGAAGGAGGAGAAAGTGGTGGGGAGTGAGGAGGAGAACAGCACCCACCAGCACTGGCCCAGGATATACAGCTATAACTTGTTGGACCAGGCAAACAAAACAGAAAGGAAAATGGGGGAACCAGGGACATGGCACTGGGCAGCTCGGCTTTCGCCCCTGATGAAGGGGAACATCCAGCTGCAGAAACTTAGAGCCTCGCTGAAACCTTGAGGAGAAAGGGCTCTGTTTTAGCTCAGGAACTAAGGTGAGAAAAATGGGAAGCAGGAACCACCTGAGGGAATATGTGGAAGAACACACTGCTTTGCCTTCTGTAAATGGATGAGAGCCCCAGAGCATGCACCACGAGGTCATGGGCGCAGTACCTCCTCAGAAGAATCCTGTGGCTGGCATGTTCCTTCTCACTCAGGGCTTGGGAAGCCCTGAAGTTCCAAGGATCATGAGAACCTGGTACAGATTGGGTGGAAGAAAGAACTCACCATCACAGCATTCCCTGGAATGGGTGACTCTGGTCCACAGGGAGCCATGCCTCAGGGAAGGATAGGAGATCAAGCCGACCTCAGACCAGGGATTCCTCATTGAGTATATGTGTGCATGTTGCTAATCCAATAAGGGAGAGAGGGGGCATAAAAGATTTTGTAACAGCAAATGTTTTGTTTGGACAGTTGAAAATTGAACATCAGAGCCCATAGAAAATGGAGGGACAGCAAACTACCGTAGCAACAAAGGATCCAGAGGTAGGAGTAAACCAAACAGAACAACCTGGAAAGAGAAGCAGAGGCTACCAGGAGAACTCTGGATATTCCAGGCAATGGAGACACCCTCTCAGCACAGCTGCAAATGGGAAAAGTGACTCTTCCTACAATCTGTTTTTGTTTGTTTGTTTTTCGAGACAGGATTTTGTAGACAAATTTTTCTTTGGGCTGCCAGCTCACAAAAAATGACAAGAAGACTTATTATTAATTATAAAAGCTCAGCTTATAGCTTAGGCTTGTCCCACTAGCTCTTATAACTTAAATTAACCCATTTCCACTCATCTACATGTTGCCATGTGACTCGTGGCTTTTACCTCTCCTGCTTGTCTTGCTCTCTTTGTGTCTGATGTCTTGCTCTCTTTGTGTCTGGCTGGCAACTTCACCTTTCTTCTTCCCAGAGCTCTCTGTACAGAAGTCCCTGCTATACCTCCTGCCTAGCTACTGGCCATTTAGCCTTTTATGAAACCAATAATAGTGGCATATCTTTATGCAGTGTAATCAAATATCTTGAAACATTTCCTCCTTTTTGTTTACATAAGAAGGAAAAGGTTTTAACTCTAACATAGTAAAACTATATACAATAAGAACAATCATCAGGTAAGATTTACATTTACAATATCCAGTCCATTTGTATTGGCAAATTTGAAGAAATTATTCTATTATCTATCTTATCTTAATGAGTTCAAAGTTTTATACCTAAACCATTTTTTATCATAACTTGTATTACCAACACAAAACTATCTTTTTAGACCTCAAAACATTTTCTTAGATAAACAATTTAAACTGTTATATCTCTCAACCTTATACACTTTACACCTCTTTTGCGAGTTTCTTTTCTGAATTTGGTAACAAGGAAAACTGTAACTATAACAATTGCATCTTCAACTCCATTAGAGACCCGAGAAGGATATAATATTACCTGAGTAAACAGAAAATGCAGAGCAAACAACTTCCAAAACTATAGAAATGGCAGAAACACCTGGCTGCTTGGACACTCAGCCCAAGGTTCCTCTGCAACATTGGGGCATCCATCTTGGGCCTACAAGCCTAGAATATATGACAGAATTTCTGGTGAAGCAGGAATTTTGAAGGACTGTCCCACCTTGTTTTGACAAAGTTTGGCAGTTGCTTTCTTTTTTCCTGCTTGTCCAGTTTAGACACCACACTGTCAGCAGTTTCTTTGCCCAGTGGCTAACTTTGCAACTTCATATGGAGGTTCTTCAATGCCCACTATCCTTTTTTGAAGTAGATTGGTGCTGGCAGGAGCAGATATGTCTCACTGTCATGAGAAGCCTTATGTTATTTTTTCTTTTTTCTTTTCTTTTCTTTTTTTTTTGTTTTTTGATTTTTGAGACAGGGTTTCTCTGTGTAGTTTTGGTGCCTCTCCTGGATTTCGCTCTGTAGACCAGGCTGGCCTTGAACTCACAGAGATCCACCTGGCTTTGCCTCCCAAGTGCTGGGATTAAAGGCATGTACCACCACTGCCTGGCTGCCTTATGTTATTAAAACATTTTAATCGACATATTCTGTAGGTCTTTGAAGTGTTTGAAGATTATCTATCTAAAACATATCTCTGTATGACATTGAAAACATTCCTAACATACTATAAGTTTGATTGTTACAGATGAGTAACTATTAATCTGTATTTCTTTATTATCCTAAATAGCTTTCAAGGACTAAAACTTTACATTTTTAAATGAGCTGCAGAGGTACAATACCTTAAGCAAGAATTGAAACATATATAATATAACAAAAATAACCTTAAATTTGTATCAATATACAAAAATCCATACTAATGTAAAGTATTTGAGGCTAGTGTGGTTGTTTAAAAGTAGACTCAACAGCCCACCTTTTATCTCATCATTTCTATACTATATCCCCCCTTTTGCCTTCAGAAAGAGACCCCTGAATCTAATCTTTGTTCAGCTTTTTTCCTGACAATGACCAATAACAATTTGTAACCAACCCCCCTACATGATGACAAACATCCATAACCCACTGAATGACCCAAAACCACCCACCCCAACTCTTGGGAATGTGGGCATCATGTTCTCTAGACTGCTCCTTGTTGTCTGTGGGTGACAGCATCTTTGGGGGATTCTGAGAAAATTGGGATAAGGGTTAAGTCCTGAGAAAACTAGTTATAACACTTGTTGTCTAGTCTCTGTGCAATGGGAAAATGCAAGTCTTATTTGTAGTCATGGCCAGGATAGTCTGTGAGGCTGGACCATCTCAGCCAGCGGCCTTGAAGCTGTTTTGGTTGCAGAATTCTGAGGAAACTATAACAGAGGCACTCTGAGAGGCTGGATTACCAGGGCCACCATTTTTGTTGGTGTCTGCTCCCCTTGCTCTGAAAACACACTAACTTTAAAAGGTAATGTACATATCTGCATTAACACAAGTGTGGACTGTGCACTGTACACAAGCCAGCCAAAGATGATATTTGTTTTATTCTTGAGCAGGTAAAATATATGTCACCTGTCATGTAGTCTTTTTTTTCTAGGTTTATTTCTTTATGTCTGTAGCCAGAATTTTCAGAGGGTCTCCCCCAGTCAAATCTGATCTCTATCAACCTTGAATGAATCCACAGCCTTTCATTTCTGTGGAAACAAAAGAATAACCTCTTCCCCAATGCAACAAAATCTTTGACTTCCATTTTGAAGTAAAGGCATTTTTAAAATATATAGATTGGTTTAATTTAACAGTTTCCATAACCCAGTGTCTCTCAGCAGCTATTGTTGGCTCATTAGCAATAAAAAAATTTAAAGTCAACAAGACACCATATAGGATCCAGACTCCTTGTGTATTTTTCATCTTTACATGGAATATCCTTTCTACAATATTTTATTCTCTCTTTATAAACTTTATCTTATTATTTATAAACTTTTTAAATGACTGTCTATACCCATTTTCTTTTCTTTTTTAAGCCTATGCACACTTTTTAAACACACTGTAACCTGTTTAGAGGTTTCCATCTGGCTCTGTCTTTACTGAGCATCTGCAGCTGTCTCTGACCATGTGAGACAAATCTTAAACTATTATGTCACCTGCCACGTGGCTCAGCTCAGCACATGGTACTGGTGGCTGGCTCCATCCCACAGGCAACGGTCGTTAGCCACATCTCTGCACACCAATGAGCCTAACTGAGTGACCACAGTTATCAGGAAGCCACATTTGACTCCGCTCCAAACTTTAAAAAAAAAAAAAAAAACAAAAAAAAAACTTTCTCAGGCCGTATGTGGGTATATGTGGCTCCACATTGGGCTCCATGTGTAG